ACAGACATGCATAAATCGACTCAGAAAGTGATTCTATGCATATTCTTAAAATGAACTATGGATCTATCTCGTTTCCTTTTGCCTGTTACAAACATATGCACAAAGACATAATACCCTGAACCACAGTGTAGTGAAGGGTATAAAAACCATTCACCAGCTGCAGAACTGAAAAATTACCAAATATTTTAACAGAATTTTATCATTGGTCGTAATCAAAAAAACAAAGAAATTGGTGTGGGGTTGAAAGGTAGGAAATCAAAAAATGCCACAATGTCCGTAAAAATATATAAAAATAATTAAGTTTTTTATACCCTACAACAGGTCAGGATTACAAATAGAAGAGATTTTTGTAATGTACATTTAAAATGTTTGAAAAAATAGTGAAAATCTTTACAAATATCAAATGAGCAAACAGTTTAAGATTAAATATATTACAAATAGTAGTGTTGGCGGTTTATTTGGGATACCATTTGTATTTTGTTTTTGCAAAATAGTCAGGCTGAATCCCAGTTTGTTGTTTTATTAAAAAAACAACTATTTATTAGTGGGGAATGTATGGCATTGTTGGCCGAGGGGTAAGGTAGGGAAGACTATAGTTTCGGATCACGCCACTGATCCTCATCAGTTCCCTTAGTTTTTTGTTTGGATATTCTCCCCAGAAGCTATTGCTTCTATACAAAAAACATTTCATACCCAAATGTCTCTTGTAACAAAGCGAAGTACTTAGCTGACCAACGACATAAACAGCATGAGAATTTCGCTGGAACCTCACTTCGAGGTTAACAAGGCATTTACAAACAATACCACACCTTTCCCACTGTTGTGTGTTGTCACATCGCGACAAATGCACACAACGACTTTGTTGGTGTCGCTAGTATACAGCAACAAACCAAACAGTTTAACCGTGCCTGCGTCTACAACTTCAGTAGTGTTGGCGGTTTATTTGGGATACCATTTGTATTTTGTTTTTGCAAAATAGTCAGGCTGAATCCCAGTGTGTTGTTTTTTTAAAAAACAACTATATTACAAATAATATATGTGTCTTACAATCACTCAAATCGATCGAATCGGACAGATGTCCTGCGGATGTCTTTTAGTTTACATTTTAGGTGTTGAAGGTAAAATTTCTAAGTTCATGCCGAATCTTTTCTTGACAGAATCAATGCACACCAAAAATATTTTTTTACTCAAATAAAGGGATGATCTAAAAACCATACAGTCGACCATGTCTTATTTTTTCCCTAACTATATATATATTATAAATTCCTATAGCATGATAAATATCGAAAAAAATCCTTCAACCTTAACTTGTTTTTCTGTTCTTTTTTTCTACTTGCATATATTTTCCCTTAGCCAAATGGCATTTGTTGGGCTGGTAATGCTGCTGACGCTATTTTGCATTTTAATTGCAATGGATGGTCGAATGGATGTATGGACGGATGGTAGAACGAATAAATCCGCGGTTGAATGGTATATACAGCCATTTAGCTACGGTAAAAAAGAAATACTTGTGGTATGCATCACACGGCTACTTGGGATGGGGCGGATTTGGGCACATTATCGAAATCGATAAAGCGCAGTGCTGGCCGTGCCATACGTATTATCAATAATTTGGATCATTCAGTTCAGGTAAGTTCACAATTGGGATATGTAAAATAATAACAACAACATAAGGATTCACTAGAAACTCAAAGCAATGTAATTCCAATCAAGTATCATTGCATTTTGATTGAGAAATGTGGGGCGGTCAGTTGAGGTACCCCGCAAATTGTTTGCATAAAATCCTTGGAGAAATTTTAAAAAAGTATAAGGGAAGACAACGAACAAATCGGCTCAAAGCTGCTATTATTTGGAGGATCAAAAAATGAAATTGACAAAATTGTTGCACATTAAGAAAAACATCGTGGCTTTGTTTTGGAGGTGTTTCTTTAAGAGTGGAAAAAATGCTTTCGGCAATTGATATAGCTCATGTGATCATTTTTTAACCCCCACTAGAAGGTTGATTTTGCAATTCCAGTACCTACACCTCTAAATATTTCACCGTAGACCCCATATAGCATACATATTATTGGTCAGAATAAAATTCTATTTAATACCGTCTGGCCTATAGAGCTGGTAATATTTAAGCTAGAACTCTGAAATTCTGATCATACAATTGTAACACTCCTAGGATGTTTTGTATTAAAAATTGGATATATTAGCTCCCATATAACGGTATGTTAAAATATTGAGTATTTTTGGCGTTTTTGGAATATGTTAACATCTTTATAAATGTATTTATTGATTATTGTTATTTTAATTGCCAACTCATGGTTGGCAATTAACTGAAGTAAAAGGCATTTGAGTTAATTGTTTTTATAAAAGCATTTTAATTGAAGCTCTTCTGTTGAAACCCTTTCTATAGTATCCACATAAAACAAGACTTTCAATTGAACATCTTCTATAAAATTCTTTGTATACCCTTCACCACACTGTGGTACAGGGTATTATGTCTTTGTGCATATGTTTGTAACAGGCAAAAGTAAACGAGATAGACAAATGGTTCATTTTGAGAATATGCATAGAATCACTTTCTAAGTCGATGTATGCATGTTCGTCCGTCTGTAGATGTTAAATTGTAAACAAAGTACAGGTCGCATTTATGATCCGATTTTGATGAAATTTGACACATCTCACTTATTTGGTCCAAGGACGAACCGGTTCAGATTTAGATATAGCTCCCATATATAGTTTCGTCAGATTTTAGGTAAATGGTGCGGAGTTTTGTGAAAATCGGTTTTTTGGTAAATGGTCCACCAAACTCCCAAGTTTTGTCCGATTGATAAAAAATTTTGCACAACGTATTGGGATTGGTCCATATTAATGTACACGTCGTTTTGTGAAAATCGGTTCAGATTTAGCCTATTATATGGGAGCCTCCTCCTCGGTGCACCGAGGAGCCTACGTCTGTTCCATATGCACGAGATCAAATTGTGAACAGCGCTCTGTGCTGCACCATACCAGACGGTATATGCCACGGTTGCTCAATTAGGTCCAGATTTACATGTAGCCCCACATACATTATTTTGCTCGATTTCATACAAATGGTACAAAAAAGAATCAGATTGACATACATTGCATTGAGCATGCATTAGTTCACATATCTATGTAGATCACACATTTAGTTTCGCCCCATTCCATTTCAATGGTGCCCTAAAAATTATGTCTGTTCTATCTATTGTATATATTAGCATCTCTTGTATGTATCCTTACTGGTTTTTGTCTGTATTACGACTAATTGCATCATTTGTAGAACATTTCGTCGTACCCTAACTCACGCCATTCTAGGCCTAATTCATTACGCTGTACCAAATTTCGTGCAAATAGAACGATATATAGGGACTTTGGTGCACCATTTACATTAAATCGGACGAAAATATATATGTGAGCCAACTTTTGTTTGTGATTTAAAAACAAGTAAAGAAGTGTCAGTCGGCGTTGCCGACAGATATATACCCTCACCGTATGGTTTACCAAGAAGGTCTTTGGATTGACACTCCGGATTTATCATTCGTTTTATATTCAAATAAAGTTTACAAGATTATATAATATTGGACCTTTTTTGGGGGAGGTACCAGAGGGAATGCAGACGGGTCTCAATTTCTTACTTGATCTAGGCTATGTAAACTTAATTGCTTGTGCAAAGTTTGGTTCAAATCGGAAATTGAAAACGTAGACACTTTGTGGGATACGAGAAGGAGTGGACCAATGGGTTCCATCTTCAAACTTGATCCAGGCTTGGTAAAGATAATATGTTGTACAAAGTTTATTTCAAATCCTATAGTCAGTTCGCATGATATTGGCTTTATAAATATTGAATATGTTGACCCTTTGTGGGGGAAGTACCAGAAGGATTGAACCAATGCACAGAGCCCTGGAGTTTTGTTGGAATCGGTTCATATTTATATATAGTTTCACTAGATTATATGTAAATTGGGCACAATAGATTCTGTTCCAGTTCCACGATATTATGTTTAGCATATTGAATGACGAGTATTAAGTTTTGTCGAAATTGGTTCAAATTTAGATATAGCTTGTCCAATTTCATACAAATGGTGCACCGAGGAACCTATGTTCGTTCGCTTTACATGAAATATGGCAGAGAGTTTTGGATTGAAATCAAAATTTGCTGTAATCGGTTCAGTTTTAGATATAATTTCCATATAAATTTCCGATCCGATTTCATCTAAATGGTGTACAAAATAACTAAGATTTGTCTGATTGGGACGAATTTCATTTCGAATTTCACCACAATGTACCAAATTGAACATAGAATAACGATAAGTTGCCTTGTAAAATGTAAACACATGTTGACATAACCGATCTATATTTTCGTCTGAGTCCATGCAAATTGCGCATTAAATAATAAGCGTCTCTCCGATCGAGATAAATTTTGGACAGCACACTGTGCTGCAGCATACCAAATGATTGCTCTAATGCGTTCAGATTAATATATAGCTCCCATACATAATATAGCCTGATTTCATACAAATGATACACCAAAGAACTAAAGTCAAAATCGACATACAATTTTTCATAGATTTCAGAATTGCATTTGTATATGTTGATTCAAATTAATTCAAATATCTATGTAGTTCATACATTTAATTTTTTCCGATTTCATTTTAATGGTCCTCCAATGATGCTATGCCCGTTCTATCTACAGGATATTGTACATATGAGCATCTGTAGTATGTACCCAAAGTGGTGAAAAGAATCATATAGTCATCCCCGTCCGACTTTTTTGGTTTCCTTACGGGTTTATGTTTTAAAACCCAAATTGCTTTGTATTTTTCATTTCGTCTATGTACACATATTATAAAAAATATAACTTTAATAGAGAAACATTTATGTTTATTGTTAAAAACAATTCAAAAAAGATTATTTATTCAATGTGTAAACTCATTCTTGACATACTGTATGTACAGAAAGAAGAGGAAATAGTTAAGTATTAGTTGAAATCAGTTATTACAACTTTTGCCTATGTTGTCATTGGGTTTAAATTTTATAGTTACATCGATCATTTTCATATTTGAATATTTTTTGATTAATTCCGGAAGATATTCCTCTTGTTTTCCTTTGAATTTCCTATCGAAGGGGTAGCCCATTGATCGATTGTCCGGATACAATTGATCCTTAAGACCACAGTATGATGCAGAGTCATTGCAGGGATTAGCTCTATAATAGAGATGTTTTTGTAAGATGGTTCAAATGAATTGAAAAGTAAATATTTAGTACTTACGTCTTATCGTGCAAAGTTACAGCATCACCACTCATATCGGATATCATTACAAATAGATCAAAGGGCATGCCTTCTGGTTTACCTTTGGGAAGAAGCATATGTCGAGGCCAACCGCAACCACAGAACCACAATTGCTCCAAATCTTGAGTTGGCTTATCTTTGGTGTCATTTGGAAAGGCGCGTTCGTATGGAATTGTGACACTTGAATTGCTTGACAACTGGTATATGCGATTTACGCCCGGTTTCACTGCAGGAAACAAAATCATAATAGTTAGCTTTCTGTATTGACAATATGTATTGTTTACAATACCGAGTTTTGATTTAAATTCAAAAATTTTTTCATACAAACTATTGAGACTTAAATTGTTTTTCATCGTTTATAGTTTGGTTGTGTGTGTGTACTTACAGGTTACTTTGAATTTATCCATCTCAATTGCCAATAGTCGTTGTTCGTTTAATTTTAAGGGGCAGCCACGCTCATCTGACTTCGGACATAGGAATATCCGACATGTGCCCTCTACTGGCGAGTTTCTGTTGTTCGACACTCCAATTTTATACTCAAACGGAGAATGCTGCAAATGTGTGAATTTTGCATAAACATTGCCTTCGGGGCCGAAATCCAATCCAGCCGCCAAATTTAATTCTGACTTCTCAAAACGGGTAAAGAGTTGATTTGGAGTGCTATCACCGGACGTTAGTGTTACTTCCAAATTATTAATTTCAACTCCTTTGAATGCGAGATCATTTGTGTCATAGGGATTGAGACGCTCCTTGTGGCGGTTGAAAATCTCATCAACAAATCCGTGCCATCTATAGAAAGTAGGGTCGCGCATAGCTGTTGTGTTATCTCCCATAACACCGAACTCTTCTAGAAAACGTGCTTCGGGATCGTGGCACAGCGCAATGATATTGTGACCTTCATTGTGCAGGCTTCCGTAGTATTCGGGATTGACTGATAGGCTAGTAGCTTCAACAATGTCTCCCAAAATATCAATACCCTTTTTCGGGTCCAAAGGAATTTCGTTGCCCTTCGACTGTAAGCAAAAGCTTATTTAAACATTAACCAAATATAAGAGTGCAAATACTTACATCTACAACATATCCTTTGTCAATGGCGGCAACTACGCGATCAATCCAGCGCCTGATGTCAGCAATGTCCACATGAATATCGTTACGATCAATGTCTGATAGCGCACTGTTGGCGTTGCGCCCGGGATAGGTTCTGCGGATCGAACTGTTCATAATTTTTGGGAAATAGCCCTCCGCTATAGGGTAGCGTAAGTCTTTTATTGGTCGCAACTTTGCCAAGTTGTTGGAGAAGCGTTCTGCATTGTATCGAGCTAAAACCTGATGATGCATGTAATAAAATAGTTCTCCTCGGCGGTCTTTCTTTACAATCTCCAAAGGGCCATAGCCAGGGTACACTAAATGCCAATGCCAGTGATGACTATTTACGCCTATATCCTCCCTGAAATATGCCAATCGTTGTTCTTTTTCTCGGTTTGAGGCGGTGAAGTTTAGGGGAATGTCAACGTAACGCTATAAATACAAACATTCGTATATTATATATGTTAAACACACAAATACAACTCTTTTTCATACCCGCTCTTCCTGATCCTTGATCAATTCACTTTCCGCACGAGCTTCATGGAAGACATATGGTTCTACAAAATGTTGCGGAAATGTTTCAGCAATTGGTTTTATTGGGAACTCCTTGGTGTCCTCTCTGTGTTGAACGGCCACCGAAAGACAGTACTGGAACAAGAATGGATTCACCCGATCTTTACAGTAAACGCACGTGGATATGAAAACGTCCTCATTGCTTGCATCCACAAATATTTTAATTAATTGAGCTGCAATGTCTTGGTGCATCCTGTTGGAAAGCGAAAATTGGCTACGCTTGCCAATTTTTCGAGCAAATGTTAAGTCCGGTTTCTGTTCTAAATCACGTACCGGTATTTGCATTTTAATTTCAGATGGTTTGCCAAACCGAGTTGAAATTTTATCGGATATATCCGCATATTCCTCACTATAGAAGCTTTTGGGTATGAGAAAAATCGCCTTACCACCGTCCCTCGCTGTGAAGACGGGCTCCAAAGGACGATCAAACAGTAATTTCAATGCCTTCTCGTTTATTTTGTGCAACATTTTGTTTGTCAAAAATTGTTAGCTAATTCAGACTGGCCTGTTCCATGTTGTGTTAGTTGTTTAAATAGCTAACCCCAATCGCCGTTTTAATGCAATTTTACGAATTTTTAGATATACGCAACCGCATACTTGTGATTGAGAAAATGTGATACTGCGTGAGAAATTTTGCCACCGCAATATAGAAATGCATATGTTTACAAAATTGCAAATTAATTAAGTGTAAGTGATATGAAATATCCGACTGCGGTTTGGTATCTTAACATGCAATATATGTAGTAAAGGGTCCTGCTTATACTAAGTGATAAAAATGTTATAGTATTCCTACGGCTTATTGTGATATTCTACCGCAATGCAATGTCTAAAAAGTCGCAAATAACCAGTAAGGATATGATACCCTTCACCACTATGGGTATATTAAACCGCTGATGATATTTATCTAAATGTGAATCTACCTAGATCTATCAATAAACATATCATTCGTTTGTTACAATGGGACAAAAGTATGTAAATCTACTTCAAACAAATATAAATAGGTCATCCGTTGGACTATGTCTGTACTTCTAGAACACGCAACATTTCTTTGCTTAATTCTGTACGTTGTCCAAAATTTGATGTCAATCTGACTAACATGAGGAGTTTGATGCACAATTTACTTAAAATCGGGCGAATATATATATGGAAGCTATATCCAAATATGAACCGATTTCAACGAAACTTGTCACAGGTTAGGTTATACTAATTTTAGTACGTTTTGTTCCTACCAGCCTATTGGTTCTTTCCTGCGTCAATTACTTAAAATCAATCTATAATAAAAGGGCGCTATATCTAAATCTCAACCGATTTTCACGAAACTTGGCACCCATCATTCTGGATTAAATTTACATTAAATCGGAGGAAAATATATATGGGAGCTATATCTAAACCTTGACCGATTTTCAAGAAACTTGACAGACATCACTCTAGGCTCGATTTAGTACGTTATGCCAAATTTCGTGCAAATCGAAGGATATATAGGGACTTTGGTACACCATTTACATGAAATAGGACGAAACTATACATGGGAGCTATATCTAAATCTGGACCGATTTTCTCGAAACTTGGCAGACATGACTCTAAGCTCAATTCACTACGTTATGCCAAATTTGGTGCAAATCGAAAGATATATAGGGACTTTGGTGCATGATTTACATCAAATCGGACGAAACTATATATTGGAGCTATATCTGACTCTGGACCGATTTTCTCGAAACTACGCAGATATCACTCTAGGCTCTATTCAGTACGTTATGCCAAATTTTGTGCAAATCGAAAGATATAATGGGACTTTGGTGCACCATTTACATGAAATCGGACGAAACTATATATGGGAGCTATATCTAAATCTGGACCGATTTTCTCGAAACTTGGAGGACATCACTCTAGGCTCAATTCAGTACGATATGCCAAATTTCGCGAAAATCGAAGGATATATTGGGACTTTGGTGCACCATTTACATGAAATCGGACGAAACTATATATGGGAGCTATATATAAATCTGGACCGATTTTCACGAAACTTGGCAGGCATCGTTCTAGGCTCAATTCGGTACATTATACTAAATTTCGTGCAAACCGACTGATATATAGATTCTTTGGTACACAATTTACCTTAAATCGGACGAAAATATATATGGGAGCTATATCTAAATCTGAACCGATTTTTCCCAATTTCAATAGGGTTCGTCCTTGGGCCAAACAAATGAGCTGTGCCAAATTTCATCCAAATCGGATTATAAATGCGACCTGTACTTTGTTTACAATTTAACACCAACAGACGGACAGACGGACGGACATGCATAAATCGACTCAGAAAGTGATTCTATGCATATTCTCAGAAGGAACTATGAGTCTATCTCGTTTCCTTTTGCCTGTTACAAACATATGCACAAAGACATAATACCCTGTACCACAGTGTGTTGAAGGTTATAAAAACAAGTGAAACCAGTAAGGAAAGTTCAAAAGTCGGACGGGGCCGACTATATGATACCCTTCACCATTTTGGGTAATAATATCTAAAATATCCTGTAGACAGAACAGCCATAGAATCTTTGGAGGACCATTGAGATGGAATCAGATGAAATTAAATTTGCTATCTAGATAGATACTTGAACTAATTGAAAACACCCCATACACATACCATTCTGCAATTACATGGGAGCTATAAATGTATGGGACCTAATTGAACATACACCATTTGTTTTTTGTTATCACTCCATTTTCAATTAAATAACCTCTAATGAATTTCGTGTAATTCGAACAAACATAGGCCCTACGGGGCACCATTTACATAAAATCGAACGAAAATATATTAGACCTATATCAAAATCTGAACCGATTTCAACAAAGCCTATCATTTTTCTTCAATTGCATTCGCTATTCAAAATTTTGCTCCATCAGACAAATATCTGGAGTTTGGTTCATCATTCACATAAAATCAGAAGAAACTATATATGGGAGCTATATCTAACTCTGAGCCGATTTTAACAAAACTTCACAGACATCAGTCTGGACCTAATTCAGTACTCTGTGCACAATTTTGTCCCAATCGGACAAATATCGGGAGTCTGGTGTATCACATGAAATCGGACGAAACTATACATGGAAGATATATCTAAATCGGTCAATCAATCGGACAAATATCGGGAGTCTGGTGTATCATTTACAAAAAATCGGACGAAACTGTACATGGGAGCTATATCAAAATCCTAACAGATCTTAACAAAACTTTGCAGACATGAATCTGAACATAATTTAGCATTCTGGAGTTTGGTGCATCATTCAAAAAAAAAAATCGGACGAAACTATATATGGGAGCTAATCAATCTGGACCTAATTCAGTACTCTGTACAAAATTTTGTCCCAATCGGACAAATATTAGGAGTTTGGTGTATCACATGAAATCGGACGAAACTATATATGGAAGATATATCTAAATCTGAGCCGAATCCAACAGAACTTCGCATACATAAGTATGGACCAGATTCAGTGCGCTGTGCAAAATTTTGTCCCAATCCGAACAATATTGGGAGTTTGGTGCACCATTTACATAAAATCGGACGAAACTATATAGGGGAGCTATATCTAAATCTGAACCGATTATCTCCAATTTCAATAGGGTTCGTCCTTGGGACAAATAAGTGAACTGTGCCAAGTTTCATCCAAATCGGATTATAAATGCGACCTGTACTTTGTTCACAAAAATACATGGACGGACATGCGTAAATCGACTCAGAAAGTGATTCTAAGCATATTCTCAAAAGGGTCTATCTCGATTCCTTTTGCCTGTTACAAACATATGCACAACGACATAATACCCTGTACTACAGTGTGGTGAAGGGTATAAAAAGCGTTTACTTTGGATACCTTCCACCATAGGTATACCTTCAGATACTTGAAATGAAAATACAGGGAAAATACCAAAAAGTGAACATATACCGATAATTCTACAAACGGATTTATGTAACCATTGTGTGCACCATAGAAAAATTTCGGCAATTTTTAATGGGGATTTTTCCTAAAATCTGAAAACCCCAAAGCGTGATACTAATTAAGTATGGTAGAGTATAGAATCCTCAAACTACTGCAATTTAGATTGCAATGTTATGTGAGGTTATGCCTAAAGGAGGACCAATATTGATTACACAGTGTAGGAATTAGCGAATATTCCTAATTAATGACCGATATGTGTAAATTTCGAAACCAATATTTTGGTTATGTATCTCAACTCTTCCCTTCAGGAATTATCATTATATGGAAGAGATGCCTGAATGCCTGCCGATATATATGAAATACAAATTTCAGAAATTTCAATGGATGTTTTTCCTAAAAACCCCAATAATACTGCAAAAATGCTGCAACCCCAAAATACTGCAATTTAGAGGTTACAGTTATATAAGACCAGAGTTTTTATATAGTACATTCACGAACCTCACGTTCTAATTTTTTAGGTCTAAATGCGGGCTATATCTTATTATCGAACCTTACTTTCTACTTTTTTATCTCGATATCCTCCGCTGGCGAAATGATTACATCAGAGTCTTAGAACCAAACCCAAAACGCGGAACAAATCAGATAACTATTTTATTATAAAAATGGGAGTTATATGGTGACTTTCCCTAAAAGGGGGTAAATATTAGTAATTTTTGGGAGGGAAGTTTGTTACCATATACGACTACAAACAAAAAACAAAATTACAAAGAATTTGGTTGAAAAACGTTAAAGAACCCCAAAATACCGAAAATTGGGGGGGGGGTACCCTTACATAGGGGCTACCTGAAAAAATTGTCCTATATTTATAATTTTAAGTGGAAATATTTGCTACCCAATAAGAACACGAAGTACTAAATTACAGCTCCCTATCTCAATTCCTTCAGAAGATAGCGTGATTACAACAGAAGGACAGACGGACGGACCTGGCTATATCGTCTTAAAATTTTACCCTGATCAAGAATATATATTTCGATGAGTTTAAACGGAATGACAAAATTAATATACCTTCCATACTATCGTGGAGGGTATAAAAAGTAGTAGACCTAAATTACTACCTTGAGGAACACCAGAATACACAGTTATATTTTAATACAGGATCTCATTAAAAGATAGCCATAAAGACACCCAATACTTTACTGAAATCACTGTATATAACATCAGTTTGACATTTGTTTAGAAATCCACTATATACGTGACATGTGAGTTCTAATAAATTTGCCTTGACGAAACCATGTTGATAGGGTGATATTATAGATCTTGCAAAGCGAGTTATTCTGCGTGAGACCAGAAGCTCAAAAAGTTTAGGAATTGCACTTAGTTTTCTAATGCCTCTATAATTTTCAATTGTACATCTACTACCGGACTTATGCAAAGGAATAATAAAGTTTGGTCTCCAAATAAGTGGGAAATGTCAATGATTCATTGAATATAATTGTTAGGGGTCGATAAAGCTCGTACGCACACGTTTTTAA